TGCTCTCTATCTCTCATTCTCTCTCTCTCAAATAAATAAATAAATAAAATCTTTAAAAAAATAAATAAATTAAGCTCATTCTAGTCCTCAAGGTGGCAGTTACTCAGAAAATAATATATGAAAATTTAAAATAAAATAGATTTTACTTGAATTAATCTGTGTAATTTTTACCTGAATCTGTGATCTGTTATATACACCATCAGCGGTCATTAAAAAAAAAAAAAAAGCCATTCATAATAGTTAATAATGGAAATACTAACAGACTTCATTTATGTATTTCTGACTTATGTTTAATTTTAATGTAATGAAAATTGACTAATTTAGAACTTAAAACATGAAGGTTACATATTAGTTAGAAATGCATTGTTTAACTGATCTTCTATTTGCTGTTTCTTTTAAGAGAACATTTTTAAATATTGGCTTGATGAGTACACAAAGATTTATTAGATCATATTCCAAAAAAATATGTTTTGAGGAGTTGTACATATTCTATGTGGTCAAGAACAACAAAAATAAAATGTGTAGACTTCAGATACCCATACACTTTTTTAAAATTCCTAGTTTTCAGGTCTTCAGAAGAGAAATATTTAGAAATACATAAAATCCAGAGGGCTTTTTGTATTTCAATTGGATTGAATTCAAAATCTTCCAGTCATATCATGAAAAGCAGGATTGGTAATGATCTCAATTAGACATAGGGGGGAGGGGGAGATAAGTCTAGAATTTTAGAGGCAGAGAAGTTAAGGTAATGTTTCCAGCCACAGAGATCTAAAGAGATGATGTACCTTTTTCTAAAGCTCGCATTCTTTTCATGGTACTGCCCTGCCTCCTGATTAAAATTATGTTTGGCCATTCATTTCAAAAAATAAGATGAATATTTTTACATTTTTCATTCTGAGCAGAATTAATGTGGTGTTCAAAAAGCATTATTTGGGTTTTAAAACTGCTTGCTTAAGAAAAACTAGCAGGGCTGGAAGTCAGAGAGATGCATTGCATCCACGTAAGCCATGAGAAGTCACTGGATCACAGTTTCCTATTCCCAAGAGAATAGCTCACAGTGGTTCCCCCCATTATAGGAGTGAAGCCAACTCCAAATGTCAGTGTCAGCAGGATTTGCAGTTTCCGTGCAATCTGAAAAGATGGTTTTTGATAAACCACATTGTGTTTCTTCGGTTCTGAATACAGAGATGACTCACCTGAATGTGTTCTCTTTTGTGTTTTGGGGCACCAACAGCAACTTGGAGTCACCACTGATGTACGAGGTGTCTGCGCCGCGGGAGGGCAATGCCAGCCACAGCTTGAGAGGCGGCCTGGGGAGCTCCATCACAGCCTGTAAGAAGGTAAGCTTGCCTACCAGCACTCTCTTCTCCCTGACTGAACTTGATCACTAGTGTAGTTTGATTCTCCAAGTACTTTTTCTAAAGCAGAGAACAACAACGACAACAAAAACAAACAATGGAGTAGCCCACAGTTTGCTGGCCTGGTTAACCTGTGACGCCACTAAAAATGGAATTCATGAGAATGATCAGAAAACTCAAGCAGTTCGGATAGGTATGACTTGAAAATTATAAGCCCTCACTGCGGGTCCGCCCAAAGCTTCTACCTCTTCTCTTCACAAACTTGGCCATGGGTAACAGCTTCTCGCTGCATTTCCTTTCAGAAAAACGCTCCCAGGTTTTGAGTGGCTCATATTATAGGAAGCACCTAGGTCTCTATCTAAGAAACACTCATGGCTGTTCTTCTGATACTTTCTTAAAGAGAAGGGTGTGCTTGGCTTATTTTATTATGAGACACAGAATTACATTTCCTAGAATATAGACTTTAGAACTAAAAAACAAATCTTGCTTTCACGCCCTTGCTGAAAGTTGTCATTTGAACAATATAAATTCATTTGCTTCGTTTTTCCAGTCAATCCAACTTAAGGCCCAGAAACTTGAAGCAAAACGTCCGATTTCCCAACTAAAGCTTTTGTTAATATTTGCTGCAGAATTCCAGAGGAAGATGTGTTTCTTCTCATCCAACCTTAGATGATATCACACTGGATTATTTCATTAATTATTTTAAAAAGGTTAAATTATAAAAAATATTCATAGGTGTAAATCAAGACAAATTCTATTACTAAACATATTGTGTAGTGTATATATATGTGTGTGTATATATATATATATTATTTATGTATACATATTGTAACATTATGTATGCCAATGTGTATTGATTGATTACTGCACCCAGTTAAGCAGCCTTATTTATTCTCTGCTTGTGTGGTGTTTATATCATTTTCAAGTATCAAAGAAAATGACACACACATATCTGTGTTAGAGAACATATACTGATTATAGAAAAGTAACATTAAACATAATTTTACAAAACTATTTGCATGTATACATTCATAACCAAATATAAAAATAAACTGGTCTAATCAGTTCAAGGCTCTAATTTTCATGTGTTATAAGATCTATTATTCACTCTCCTCTAATAAAATCCTTATAGAAGAGTCAGTGCTATAAATGTCCATTTTTAATGCAGAAAACTGAGGTACTATAATTCAAAATGATTTCGAGTTGCTTATATGAGAGATCTAAAACTGCAGGTCTTCAAGCCTTGGGGTATGTTCTATTCAACTCTGTAACTCCAAATGATAGTCTTCACCAGATGCTATACATTTCCCAAAGCTACATGATGTTTCATTTATTCTAATTTTTAAATAACTCTGTTTCTATTGATTAGAGTCCATGTGGTATTTAAATTAAGGATTGAGGGCGCCTGGGTGGCTCAGTTGGTTAAGTGACTGCCTTCGGCTCAGGTCATGATCCTGGAGTCCCGGGATCGAGTCCCATGTCGGGCTCCGTGCTCAGCAGGGAGTCTGCCTCTCCCTCTGACCCTCTTCCCTCTCGTGCTCTCTATTTCTCATTCTCTCTCTCTCAAATAAATAAATAAAATCTTTAAAAAAAATAATAAATAAATAAATAAATTAAGGATCGAAACCAGACTGCCTGAATTTGACACCCAGTTCAATCATTACTAGTTGTGTTATCTTGAGCAAATTATCTTACCTCTTCATGCCTCAGTTTGCTCATCTGAAAAAAGGTGACAAGTGAGGATTCAGTGAGTTAATAGATGTGAAATGTTTAGAATGGTGCCTGGTGTATCGTAAGCACTCAAAGACTATCTATGAGTAACATTATTCTACAGAATAATTTTTCAATAAGTACACGGTGCCAGAAAATAATTCGATATACACATTGCCATGCTGAGAGAGTTAGTACTTTATGCTCTGTTGTCTCGGTTACATTTTTTTTTTTTTTTTCTGGGAAAAGAAGCCATCATATTCATTTCTTAAAAATCATGTCTGGAAGCTACTGAATAGAGCTCTTTGGGGCTGGTGTCTTCTCAAAAAATAAAAATCCAAACTCAATCATTTATTATTATATATATATATAATATGTCTGTGTGCATATATGTATGTACATATATATGAATTTAAAGTTTTAAACATAATCGTACTCGTACCACAACCATTTCTAGAATTGTTAGCAGGTTGAACCATATGAAATTTTCTTTTTTACAGATTAAAAATGATCAATTACAAGCAATTTCCTATGTTCTGGTATAAATACATTCAAAATTCTGTTAGATCTTGGGGAGAGATACAAGAATGCATATATATTTATAGTCTAGTTTGGGAGATAATACTGGTTTCTCATGTGAAAAGTCACATAGTAATTCATATGTGAGATAACTATACAGCAATATCTGAAGATAGTATCAATTATGGGAAAAATGAATATTGTGAGCATCTATAGCGAAGAGTCTGGACCTGAAACAGACAACAGTCTTCAGAAAGAGAATTGGATTTCAATTTGGGCTTTCAAGTATGATCAAGATTTGAATGAGTGAATTAGGTTGATTATCCAACTTAATTTAGGAGGAGTTGCTACAAATTAATGCAGGAGAAGTTAACATCTTTGTGTCCTGGAGTATTTTTCTGATGTTCAGGGTGCATTCCTTTCATTTTAAATGTTCTCTTAAGCTTACATAATAATTGCATTTAAAGACAGTTTAGTAGCCTATATGCCACATGTTATATACCATGTGGGCTTTAATTGTTTTCCTTCCCTTCAAAAGAGTAGCTCACTATTGTTTTCTTTTTTATATCTGGAACATAGGCTCTCAATAACAAGACACTGAATATTGAATGAGTTCATCCTTTTATTTTATTATTATATATTACTGCAAACTGATTTAAGTGATCATTGATCAATTTGAAAAAACAAATCTTGTTAATCATAGATAATGGGCCTGGGCAAGTGAGAATCTATAAATGCACATATAATGTGTATTCGAAGAGACAAAAAGACAAGGAGAGCTCTATCTTAGAAATAGCAAGGCTGTCCAGCTGAATCACCACGGTTCACAGTCGATCAACCTTCAGTAAGAGTACCATGGATAATTGAAATCTATTGGTAATTCCCCAAACTAATTTTATGTAATAGCCTCATCTTCTTCCCCATCAAAGCTTCTTATCAGAACTGACATACTGCTAAATTAACTGGTGGGAGAAATAAAACAGGGGTCTGGAAGTTAATGCACCAGTTGGATAATCAGCCTCTGAAAAATTGCAAATTGACTGAATTTCTCTCCTGTGTGTCACATTGAATCTCCAAGGGTTTCAGGACTCCTACACATGTGCAATTGCTTCAGTTCCTCTTTGCTGTTGGGGAAATATAGTTGCTGGGAGCCACAGCTGTGAAAAAGCCATAGCATCAGGAAGAAAGATTTGGGTGGACTTATTTAAAGAAGGAACTCCTTAAGGGACTGCCTTTCCCCAGAGCTCAGATGACCATACCCCCCAACCGTAGTTTACATATATTATCCTCGCATTTTGTTAATAGACCCCCTTTTGCTCTCAGAAGGGCCACAATAAGTTATATGACTATATAACCAGCTCAAGCCTCAGAATGATCCTTTCTTTGTCTTCTTCCCTTCCTCTAAATGCTAGGAAAGTTATCAGATAAATTCTCACTGAGGTAGTAGTGACTGTGTAGGTTAATATAGTAGTGACAAATAAAACCGGTTTTTAGTTAACTACTACTACTGCTGAACTAGTACTATTCGCCCCCTCTCTTAACTTACATTGATAATTGATCCTATTGAACCCAGACTTGAATTCAGAATTCTACTCATCTTGAAGCTCCAAGCAGACACTATCAATCCATCCAACTTGGAATATGAGATATCCTCTATGTCACAGTAATTTACTGAGCTCTGAACTTGAGGAAAGTCTTAATGTGTGCAATGTGATGCTCCAAAATCATGTGTTTAAAAGGATGGAATTTCAAAATATTGCAGGAAAAAAATTGGAGAGAAAGAGTAGCTGGTGGAGAGTGACTACTAGAGCCCTGTGTGGTACCTCTTGAATCTTATCTCACATAGATCTTGTCTGATGTTACCCCTTCTCATAGGACCAATCCTTCCTATAAGACAAATACAATCATATTATTAAACTGAATCATAGGGATTTTCCATTAAATGAGTTAAATGATTATAAATGTTATAATTTTATATCTGTTAGACACTAAGTGAAAAAAGCCTTTATATTCTCTTTATAATAAATCAAAATCTGTTGTCTCTAGGAGACAGTAGGATACCACATAACAAAGCTGGACTTGGAATCCAAAGATCTGAGTTAGATTCCAGATTTCTCTTTTACTGTGTGATCTTAGGCCAGTGACCCATCTTCTCTGACTTGGATGTCTTGGTGTTGGTGTGATGTTTATATGCAAAAAAGCTGGGTAAGTTCTTTTTTTTTTTAAGATTTATTTATTTGAGAGCGAGAGAGCGTGTGTGTGATTGTGGGGGAGGTGCAGAGAATCTTCAAGCAGACTACCCACTGAGCTCAGAGCCCAACGCAGGGCTCCACCTCTTGACCCATGACATGAGATCATAACCTGAGCCAAAACCAAGAGTCGGATGCTTAACCGACTGAGCCATCCAGGCAGCCCCGTTTTGTGTAAGTTCTTAGCACACACAACTGGTGCTCAGAACATATTAGTTGATTCCAAATAAACAATCTTTACACAGGGCAAATTTTATTTAAATAGAATTTAAAAACTAATCCAAGGTAGCATGCACTGTCCCCTCATTATGTTGACTCTCTGTTAGATTTTCTTCTACTTTGAAAGCATTATACTCGATGTCACATTTCCACAGTAGCTAGGCATTTTTAATCTTTGCTCCACTTCATGGGACTGAAGATTTGCTCTTTAAGATAGAGTGGAATCAAGTCTCTGAATAGGATTCATGTGACGAAAGAATTGTTGGGGAAACATCAACACCCAAATATCCCTCTCTTTTTATGTCATGTTAATTAAATCCCCATTAAACCTGGACCTTAAAGGCAGTAGAGTGAAAAGACTTCAGTTTCCCAGAGGTGGAGTTTGATCTTAATAAGATATCTGATCATCTCTTTGAAGCCTCAAGAGCAATCTTTGCCATTACTAGCCTCCTTTAAACTGAGTTAAATTTGTTGTCAACAGTGGCACAAAAACTTC